TATATATATACTTACTTACGTTCTGTGTGGATGGGCTACTACTGCATAGCCGTAATAACTGTAACAATATGTTGCAGGTTGTACTAAACAAAGGTGGATGAGACTGGGACCATATGGTTCAATGTCTCGCGGTTAACTGATGGGGTGCTTCCAGGCAATTTTGTGTATGGAGGGCACCCCAAAGGACTGTTAGGCAGTTCTAAGGAATCAAAGATGTTGGAAGACATTTCCATGAAAAACTGTGTTGGAAAGCATTTCTGCTGTTTAAATCTGAGGTGCTGCCAACCAGCCTATAGGTAAGTGTGCACTTGTAGCAGCAGCAGGCAGACCTCAGAAGATGGAGGGGCCAAGAAGTGATGAGGATACAGCAGAAATGCTGTCCATAACCCAAGCAGGGGATAAAGAATCTGCATGTCAAAATAAACAGGTATCAGTAAACGTGCCAGAGACCACACGTATGTATAATGAGATTGGGGTCTCAGTCAGTGTTCTCACTTGGTAGAGGTACTGAAAGAGACCTGGTTGCATTTAGTAATAGATGCCAGGACAATTGCCTGCAGAGTATTTGATAGATAAGTCAGTGTTTTTGCGAGGTTAGCATGCAAGATAACCTATCATCACTGTTTATTGTCTCTGAAGGCACTGCCCAAAGCTGAATCAGAAAAAAAGGTTGTTGTTTTTGACAATGGCAAATTTGGAAAAAATGCTGATCTCAGATAATCCAGTTACCATGGGAGAAAACAAAAGTGCTTATGTTTATCAAAGAGCATATCATATCAGTCTGAGATGACCAAAAGTGCTGATGGAGTGAGCTGGCCTATTATCCTTAGTAAAAAGAAAGATAGTGTGTGTAGTGGGGGGGGGGTATCCTGCACAAATACAAAGATGTTAGCTCGGGGAAGGAGCCCATAAGACAAAAGAATGATGAAGATAATCAAAATCAAAATAAAGGTGGAACTAAAGAAAATAGGTGAACTTTCTAAAAATGGTCTTAATGAAAAATTGGAAAGTGCTGACTCTTGTCCCCCACCAACAAGCTAGTGGGAAAGGACAAAAAAATATGGAGTTCCCAAATAGAAAAGCCCATCCATACTACTACTGAAATGCTTGAAAACATGACCCCTGCTGTGCCAAATAATGGTAAAAGTGTTGGGGTCGAGAAAATACCCGAAGATGAGAGTTTATTTGTAACAGATGCTTAAAACCCAGAAAACCCTTGTAGAGTGATGCTATTGTGCAGTCCCACAGTTAGAAAAGCTTCCTGCCCAGGAGTTCCAGTAGTACTCATATTGAAACCTGGTAAATTCCTTGATTATTATGTGGCTAGTATGACCAAGATCATCACTCTTTGAAACATACCCGTAGGAAGGCTTTTAAATGTCTTTTGGAGAATAATGGCAGAGTAGGTCACTGTGAAAGAACCATTGGAGACATACTGGAGAGTTCGCCTTTAAAGGTCGATTTGGAAGTTGTCCAGAGACATTAATACATTTAAAAAAACACAGGGAAGAAGATTCTGAAGAAATTTCATATGGATTTTGGCTTTTAAAGGCTTACTTTTCTCGGGATGGGACTAGTCAGGCAGGAGAAAGACCATGTGGGTGGAAGGTGGCAAAGGTGTTCCATGAATGGGCAAGGTTTACTGTCTTTGTGTATATACAGTGGAGCTGAGAGATGTTGGTCATTGTTGTGTGTTTTAACTTCTGGGTTGAAACAGAGGGGGGGGGGGGGGGGATATGTGATAAACTAGCACTGTCATTGTGGGAAGAGGCAGATAAGGTATAGTCCAGCTGAAAAGGGTCTCTGAGCAGCTTTTCAGGTGGATATTTTCCCACAGAAGGGCAGTCAGTATGCCAGCCAGGAAAATCGTGCTGCAGGAAGTGGCATGTGTGTGAACCGACACTAGAAGAGTGTTTTGTCCTTGACCAGGCTGATACCTGTAAGGATCTCCGGGACCGTGGCGCAGGCCATTTGCATTCCACTGTGGAGCACATCGTCTGCGAGAAGTGCAGGACATCTCCCCTATTGGGGAGACTTCCGCCGCTGCAGGCTATTTAAACATGCGGGAAAGTTAGTAGGGCGTTCCACTATTGGGATTACACATCCTACTAACGCCAGCTACCTGCTACCTACCAGGCTGACTCCAAACTGCTCCGGCTGCAAGGTCTCACCCCCTAGAAGAGGGGTCTTGGATCCTGCTGATCATCTCACCTAAAGCGCAAGTACTCTGTGCACTTAGCCTCCATGCTGGGTTTTGCTTGGCACTGTGTGGTACCCATCTATATGACTGTTATCTGATTACATGCTGTATATGGACTGCCTTCTAAAATCGCTCGAGTGTTTGCTCATATATCCTGGTGGGGAGTGCGGATTTATCTATTGTGTACGGACTGCCTATGACTTGCACACCACCTTCTAATCCAAGTGACAGTGGGGTCAAGTCTCTCTCATTTAATAACCTGTGGACCACCTTTGCATATCTTGCTACTGCTTAACCTAAATAGCTATATCATTATTTGATACTGCTCATACAGGTGAAACTCGAATAATTAGAATTACGTGCAAAGTTCATTTATTTCACTAATGCAACTTAAAAGGTGAAACTAATATATGAGATAGACTCATTACATGCAAAGCAAGATAATTCAAGCCGTGATTTGTCATAATTGTGATGATTATGGCTTACAGCTCATGAAAACCCCAAGAACCCCAAATCCACAACCTCAAAAAAGTAGATTATTACATGCAATCAATAAAACAAGGATTGTACATAGAACAATATCGGACCTCTGAAAAGTACAAGCATGCATATGTACTCAGTACTTGGTTTGGGCCCCTTTTGCAGCACTTACTGCAATTACTTTTGCACGATATT